TTTTTTTCTTTATTTTTTTTTGAGATGGAGTCTTGCTCTATTGCCAGGCTGGAGTGCAGTGGCACAATCCCAGCTCACTGCAACCTCTGCCTCAAAGGTTCAAGCAATTCTCCTGCCTCAGCTTCCCAAGTAGCAGGGACTACAGGTGTGCGCCACCACACCCAGCTAATTTTTTTGTTTTTAGTAAAGATGGGGTTTCACCATGTTGGCCAGGATGATCTTGATCTCTTGACCTTGTGATCCAACCATCTCAGTCTCCCAAAGTGCTGGTGTGAGCCACCCGGTCTGGCCAATTTTTGTATTTTTTTAGCGGAAACCGTGTTTCACTAGGTAGGCCAGGCTGGTCTCCAACTCCTGACCTCAAGCAATCCACCCACCTCAGCCTCCCAAAGTGCCGGGATTACAGGCCCCAAAAATACAGTGATTATTTTTGTTTTGTACTTGGCTTTTGTATATGCTGAATGCCTAGAATGGTGACTGGTGCATAAAAGGCACCTGATAATTATTTGTTGACAGAATGAACAAGTTTCATTTGCTCATTTTCATTTTTTAACTTTAATTTTTTGCAGAGACTAGGTCTTGCTCTGTCACCCAGGCTGGAGTGCAGTGGCATGATCATAGCTCACTGCAGCCTTGAACTCCTGGGCTCAAACAATCCTCCTACCTCAACCTCCCTAGTAGCTCTGATTACAGGCTTGTGCCACCAGGCCTGGCTAATTTTTCTGCCCTTTTTTTTTTGAGACAGGATCTGTGTTGCCCAGGTTGACTCCTGGCCTCCAGCGATCTTCCTGCCTTAGCCTCACAAAATGCTAGGATTACAGCCGTGTCCAGCCTATTTTCATCATAATAATTTCTCTCTCCTTCTCTACTATTCATATATGGTTGGCTATTGAGCACTTGAAATGTGACTGGGAATAAGGAACTATTAAATATAAATTTGAAATACATCAGAACATTTCCGTTATTGCAGAAAGCTCTACTGGACAGCATGCTCTAGAATATAAAATCCCAAAGGGCAGAAATGTCTGTCTTAGTCATTACTGTGTTCTCAATGCCTGGCACATAAAAAATTTGTCATGCTAATTAATCAAAAAGCCAAAACTTCAGCAGCTCTCTGTACACAAACACCTACTGTGTTCGAGGTATTGTGTTCCCTGACTTATATGCCTTAGCTCAACCGTACCTGCTGGTATGTGTTGGTCGCAATAATTGGGCGAATCACAGGAGCCGCTGGGACCTGCATCGCTTCTACCGTGGGGACCGTGGGCACTGCAGGCACAGCAGTTGGGATTCCGGGTACTGGAGCCCCTAGAACTTCCTGCTCAAACCTGGAGGAATAGAACAGACACCAGAGCTCAGGATCTCGTACCAATTTTGGAACTCTGGGTACATTGCGCGGGGACCCTCACTCCTGCCAACCTCTCCCCTATCCCCGTCCCCACAATCCCGAAGTTCCCATTTCCCCATGTTAGAGCCGTATCTCCGGCCAATCGAGGCCTGGAGGCTCCGGGATTCGGATGCTCTGGCTCTGGCTCTGGGACGACTTTTATCTCTCCCTGTTGCGGGCCTTACAGGGCCATCTCCGCCTCCATTTCCTTCAAGCGTTCCTCGCCGCTCTTGCCCGGGATGCCAGTGCCAGGGCCCGGGACCACGGGTCCTCCTGCACCTGGGAGTCCCGGGGCTGGCCCCGCCCCAGCCATCGCTGCCGCCGTCGCTGTCGCCGCTACTACTGTCTCAGCGTAGCCGCCGCCGCCGCCGCCGCCGCCACCGCCGGTTCTGCTGTCTACTCTCCGCCTTCGTCAGGGTGGGCTCCCGAGGATGACGTACAGCAAAAGCGACGGGCGCTGGCACATGACGTCATACGCCCGGCGAAGGGCCAATGAGAGTTGGCCACACCCTCAGGGGGAATATAGGCCAATCAGAGTGAGAGAAGGACAAACAAGCACAAGAACCTGGGCCTATGAGAGCGCAGCGAAGATAGGCGGTCCCGCCTTCCTGGAGGAACACAGGCTAATGAGAGCAAAGTAAAGTCAGTTGGTCCCGTCCCCAATGTGGAATCTGGACCTTTGAGAACGCAGGAAAGTTCGGAGGCCCCTCCCGTGCCACCGCGAAGTCCGCGCTGGAAGTTTTAAAAGACGCTGAAGTCCGCGTCAGCCTCAGGGTTCGGCAAGGCTAGGAGGCCTAGCTGGGATCTGGGGTTGAGGGCTGGGGGCTCCTACCCTGGGGTAGGCTGACACTCGACCCGTGGTTCCCATGAAGACTAGAGATGCCCAGGAGGAAGCGCCTGACCCAGGCTTCCTGGCGGAGGACACCTGAAGACATTTAAAGATGAGACGAGATGTTCAGGGTGGGAGCCAAGGCCCACACTAGTGCAACACAGAGGGGCACCTGCGTGGGCTTGGTCCCTGTCCTTTCTTGGGCCACAGCTGACCCCTCTTTTTTTTTTTTTCTTCCGCGTAGCCCTCAAAGTGTTTTACTCTGAATATTTTCAAACATGCACATTAGAGGAACTAGTATAACAATCTTAAGAACCTCTCAAACGCTACCAATATTCGACACTTCTGGATTTCACTTGATCTATGCTTCTGTTTTTTACTTTAATTAATTAATTAGAGGGACTAGCATAGCAATCTTAAGTACCTCTCAAACGCTACCAATATTCGACACTTCTAGATTTCACTTGATCTATGCTTCTCTTATTTTTTATTTTAATTAATTAATTTTAAGACAAGAGTCTTGCTCTGTCGCCCAGGCTGCAGTGCAGTGGTGCTGTCTCGGTTTATTGCAACCTGCACCTCCCAGGTTCAAGCTATTCTCTTGCCTCAGCCTCCCGAGCAGCTGGGATTATAGGAGGGTGTCACCACGCCTGGCTCATTTTTGTGTTTTTAGAGGACACGGAGTTTCACCATGTTGGCCAGGCCGGTTGTGAACTCCAGACCTCAGGTGATCCGTCCGCCTCAGCTTCCCAAAGTGCTGAGATTACAGGCATTAGCCACCACACTCAGCTATTGTATGTATGTATGTTTGTATGTATTTTTGTATGTATTTATTTATTTTGAGATGGAGTCTTGCTATTGTCGCCCAGGCTGCAGTGCAGCGGTGCGATCTTGGCTCACTGCAACCTCCACCTCCTGGGTTCAAGCAATTCTCCTGCCTCAGCCTCCTGAGTAGCTGGGACCACAGGTGTGTGCCACCACACCCAGCTAATTTTTGTACTTTTAGTAGAGACGGGGTTTCGCCATGTTGGCCAGGCTGGTCTCAAACTCCCGACCTCAAGTGATCTGTCCACCTCGGCCTCCTAAAGTGCTGGGATTACAGGCGTGAGCCACTGCGCCTAGCCAACCAGAACTATTTTTTAAAAATACCCTTAACTATGCCATTATGAATACGATCAAATTAATTTCTTAGTATCATCTAACACCCAGACTGTTCAGTTTTCCCTGTCTCAAAAATGTCTTCATACAATAGTAAAATCAGGATCAAAACAAGGCCCAAACATTGCATTTGATTGTCTCTTTTTTCCTGTCAAAACTTAATTTTTGCTTGCTCAGATGTCTACTAACAAGAAAAACTTTAATTTTATTGGCTGCCTTGGTTTCTTGAAACTGCAGTCTGAATCAGTACAAATGAATACCTGCCTGCCTCCTTCCTTTCTTCCTTCCTTTCTCCCCTCCCCTCCCTTCCCTCCCTTCCCCCCCTTTTCTTTCTCCATTCCCCCTTTTGTCTTCTCTTTATTGAAGAAACTGGATCATTTATCCTATAGGGTGTCCCACCCATATTTTGAATTTAATTACATTCTTTAATTTTGTTTCGCTTGTTTCTGACTGCCTCCTGCCTCTTTCCCATATACTTGTAGTGAGAGCTAAGGCTGGATGAGATTTAGATTTAATTTGGTATAGGCACACTTCATAGGTAATATTGTATGGTATCATATCCCATGGTGTCCTACTGGGGAATCCCATCAGAAGCACAAGATGTCTGGTTGCCTTCCTTTGGTGTCAGGATTGATCAGTGCTGTCATCCTGGTCCATCCCTTTGACGAAGCCTAGTCAACCTTTCCCCCAATAGTTTTAGTAGCCCTTGACCATCATTACTGGTATCCATCACTTAATCAATGGCAAATGGTGGTTTTTGAATTCTGTTATTCTCTCTGAAGTTATTAGTTGTGATTCTTCCATAAATAACCTCTTCATTAGAAATTTGGTTACTTTTGGTTGGGTGTGGTGGCTCATCCCTATATTCCCAGCACTTTGGGAGGTCAAGGTGGGAAAATACCTGAGGTCAGGAGTTTGAGACCAGCTTGGCCAACATGGCTAAACCCCATCCCTGCTAAAAATACAAAACTTAGCAGGCATAGTGGCATGCACCTGTAATCCCAGCTACTTGGGAGGCTGAAGCAGGAGAATCACTTGAACCCAGGAGCCGGAGGTTGCTGTGAGCCAGGATCTCACCACTGCACCCCAGCTTGGGCAACAGTGGGAGACCCTATCTCAAAAAAATAAAGTTTTTTGGTTCCTTGTTCACATATAAGAAAAATAGAGGGGCCGGGCACATTGGCTCACACCTGTAATCCCAGCACTTTGGGAGGCTGAGGCAAGTAGATCACCTGAGGTCGTGAGTTCAAGACCAGCCTGACCAACATGGAGAAATCCTGTCTCTACTAAAAATACAAAATTAGCTGAGCATGGTGGTGCATGCCTGTAATCCCAGCTACTTGGGAGGCTGAAGCAGGAGAATCGCTTGAACCCAGTAGGCGGAGGTTGCAGTGAGCCAAGATCGTGCCTGTGCACTCTAGCCTGGGCAACAAGCAAAACTCCGTCTCTCTCTCTCTCTCTCCCTCTCTCTCTCTCTCTCTCTCTCTCTCTCACACACACACACACACATAAACCCCACACACACAAAGAAAAATAGAGAACATGCTTCTTTCCTTATTTTACATATAAGAAACATTTTCAAAATAATGAGTGGGTTTCTAGTACTTTTCAAAGGTGACTTCAATGAGTTATGTGAGTATCAACATGAACTTACACATTCAGACATATTTATGTGCTTCAAACCACTGTGGTACTTTTTTTTTTTTTTTTTTGAGACAGAGTTTTGCTCTTGTTGCCGAGGCTGGAGTACAGTGGTGTGGTCTTGGCTCACTGCAACCTCTGCCTCCTGGGTTGAAGCAATTCTCATGCCTCAGCCTCTTGAGTAGCTGGGACTACAGGCGTGAGACACGGCACCCAGCCTGACTGTGGTACTCTTTGCTGCTCAACATGTCACACTTTTGGCCAGTGAGAGCCCTTCAGACTGGCTCCTGAGTCCCTTTGACTTGGCCACAGTAGTCTTGGAAGACTTCTTTGCTTCCTGGTACAAAATATCCTGTACACATTCTGCCCATTTCTTGCCTCAGACCTGGAATCAGCTGTTTTTACACAGGTCCCTGGTTCTTAGAAATAGCACTTAGAGACCACGGTCTGTACACTAGTGCTTCTCAGTGTTACTGAAGTGTCATTATATTTATTATATATATCAGACCTTTTTAGTGGACTTAACTAGGAGAATGTGTGTGTGTATTTCTTTGAAATGGAGTCTTGGTCTGTTGCCCTGGCTGGAGTGCAATGGGGAGATCTTGCTCACCACCACCTCTGCCTCCCAGCTTCAAGCAATTCTCTTGTCTCAGCCTCCCGAGTAGCTGGGATTACAGCCATGCACCACCACGCCCGCCTAATTTTGTATTTTTAGTAGAGACGGGGTTTCTCCATGTTGGCCAGACTGGTCTTGAACTTCCAACCCCAGGTGATCCACCCACCTCGGCCTCCCAAAGTACTGGGATTATAGGCATGAGCCACCGTACCCAGCCTTGAAATATATATTTTTCAGAAAGAGAGAAATCATGACTTTATTCTGATATTTCCAACTCAAATGAAAGATTATAGGGTATTTACTTCTTTGATTTTATATTTATCTTTTTTCATTTACACTAAAAATCTTGGTCCACAATGACATAAGATGGCTTCTCATTTGCTTAGTGTATAATTTCAAAAACTGTAAGGTAAAGTCTCAAAAATTTAAATGGTCTATTTTATCAAAATAATAACGCCAGTGTTACTACTAACAATGCGACTACTGTACGAAGTTTAAGTTTTTGCTGAGTTCAGTAAGAAGGTGGGGGCTGGGAACTGTGATGAGAGAGGAGAGAAGGGAGGAGTGGGCTCACTAAGGACAGTCATGGGAAAGCCAGTGTGGAAAGGCGGGGAAACAGCAGCCAGGGGCAGGAGGAAAGCTGGCAGAGGGAAGGGGCTCTGGAGGCCAAGAGAGGAGCTGTGTGGGAGATGGACAGCAAGGTTCAAGATCATAAAACTGACAAACTCCCAAATTTGAAAACTTACTGCAACACCAGTAAAACTACCGTCTGTGTTTGTCTTTTTTCTGGGACCAGGCAAATTAAATATAATGTTCACTTAATTTATGAAAAAAAAAATTATCGAGACAGGGGAAACTGTAATCCCAGCAGGTGAAGAATTGGGAGACAGAGGTGGCAGATCACTTGAGACCAAGAGTTGGAGAGCAGCCTGGCCAACAAGGTGAAGCCCCGACTCTACAAAAAATACAAAAATTAGCGGGGCATGGTGGTGTGAGCCTGTAATCCTAGCTATTGGGGAGGCCAAGGCATGAGAATCACTTGAACCTGGGAGACGGGGTTGCAGTGAATTGAGATCATACCACTGCATTTCAGCCTGGGCAACAGTGAGACTCCATCTCAAAACAAGAGAACAAAAACACATATGACAATGTGTCATAAGCCTTTCTATTAAACTACTGTGGTAATGGCACATGTAGGGTTAAATACAAAGCAGGTCTGGAGAGAAGCCAGATACAACCCAATTAAACATGGAAATTTAGTGCATAAAAAGGTGGCATCTCAAAAGCAGTGAGTAAGGCTTTGCTTTATAAATTGAGTCACCCACACAGTGAAATGCACAGGCCTTAAGTCTACAGCTAGGTGAGTGCTGACAACTCTCCCTACCTGTGTCACCTCCGCCGCCCTTGACATGGCACGTTCCCGTTACCTAAGACGTTTCTGCATCTCCTCTTCAGTTGACCCCTGCCACCCACCTTCCCTCAGAGACAACTGGTGCTGTGACTGGGAATTTCAATAAGTGTTACTAGGATCCCTGTAAAATAAAACAAAATTGCATCCACGTGCTAGGATAAATTCCAAATGGCTGATTTACATGCGAAAAAAGAAACTATACAAACTAGAAGGCAATTTCATCTTTTAATACATTCCTCCTCCCACCCTATAATGCCCCCCACCAATGGCCCTTATTCCAGCATATTTTGGCTCAGGGCCTTTGCACGTGCTGGTGCCCTGAGCTGGAAGCCCTTCCTCGGCCACCCCTGTTGCTCCTGCTCACCACTTGGTGTATGACCTGGGCAGTGTGGCCGTCGATTCAAATCATACCTCCCACCTCCTGCTGGATTTCCCACACAGCAGTTAACCTGCAGCATCCTACTTATATATTTTCCTTATCTCGTAAACTCCATCTCCCTCCCTAGAACTCAACTCCTGGAAGGCAGGGCCTTCTCTTTTGTTCTGTGTGGACTCCCCAGCGCCTAGAGAAGGTGCTCAATTACTTTTTGCTGAGAATGAAAGTGATGAAGGGATCTCAGGAGTGCCCAGGGTGGGCCCCATTCTCTTGGCTTTAGCAGGATGAAAGGATCGGGGCCAGGGAGCTGAGCGGAGCCGCAGAACAGCAAGCGAGGGGACTGCAGATGCTGTGGGGGACGACGGCCAAGGAATCCTGGTGCTGCTTTCTTCCAGGTGTCCTGGGGGAGGTGAGGTGTCGGGGTGAACAGAGTGAAGTTCTGGGCTTCTGTGCAGCCTCTCTTCAGTTGCACAGCTTCTGTAGGGCTCCCTGGGCCTGAACCCAGCGCAGCCGCCACTGGGGCAGGGAGAGGCCCTGGCAGAGCTCCTCAGAGAGGGCAGCCTGGCCTGGCTGCTCCCACCTGGGAAAGGGCACAGCGTCAGAGGGGAGGCCTGGCCTTCCAGACCCTTGTTGGCCTCCCCGCAAAACCATGGCCTGCTCCTTCTCACCAGCCCCCTGGCCCGAGTCCTGACTTTCCTGCTTCCCACCCGCAGCACGTTCCCCTCTCACCAGTCCCCCACAACCCCCTGCAGCTCAGGGATTCGCTCCAGCGCCTGTTTCAGCAGCTTCTCCAGCCTCTTGAGAGCCTGCCCCAGGTTCTCTTTCTGCTCCTTTTCCTGGGATGCCTGGATCTGCAGCAGCTCTGAGGGTGAGAAAGCCGGGAGGCAGCTTTGAGTCCTCCGGCTCACTGGTACCTTACAGCAATGGGTCCTCACATCTCCAGTCCCCGAGTCTTGACCTCAGCATGTCTTGCAAACCACCTGTCCCTCTTCCCAGGTCCTCATCTCAAGGGCAGCTTCCCCCACTCAGCTGGCCTAGGCCTCTTCTGGATGCCTTCCTCCCTGAGAGCCCATCCATCTCCATGGCCTGTCTGCTTAGTCTCCTGAGCATTTCTTCCTCTGCTCCAGGCCTTGGTCTCCCACTCTGGTTCACCCTTCGCCTTACACCACAGTGATCTTCCTGCAGCCTAAATCTGATGCTGTTCTTCCCCTATCTAGAGCCCCCAAGGCTCCTCAGTGTCCCCAAGGCAGAGTCCAAGCTCTTAGGCAGGTATTTGAGTTTCATAATATGGCATGGCCTGGCCTATCTGCAGGGCCCACAGGAGACAGCATCTTTCCTCCTGGAGGCCCTTCCAACACTCCTCAACCCAAGGCTTCCTCCTCCGCCTCCTCCAGCTTCACCCTAGTGGTGCTTTCCCTCTGGGACTAGGACTGGGCCTACTCTCTCTCTCCATGTGCGCAGAACAGGCCCAGCTCAGCAAGTGCAGACGAGCAGCGTGATCACACCTGCTGGGCCTGAATCCTGACCCCATCCCATCCCTGCCCTGTGACCTTGATCATGACACTGGCTCTTTCTTCAGCTCTGTCTGCTGTCAGGTAGAATTACTGGAGCTGTAGGCTAGTGGGGCAGAGCAGATGGGAGAACTCGGGATGGGACCCTTAGGGCTGGCTGAAGGGTTGAAGCTGGTGGTGGTGGGGTTAGGGAGCTAGGAAGAATTAAGGATGACTCCTGGGTTTCTTGGTAAAGCACTGGGATGAGGAGGGTGAGATTTTTTTTTTTTTTTTTGAGACAGAGTTTTACTCTTGTTGCCCAGGCTGGAGTGCAGTGGCACAATCTTGGCTCACCACAACCTCCGCCTCCTAAGTTCAAGCAATTCTCCTGCCTCAGCCTCCCAAGTATCTGGGATTACAGGCATGTACCACTATGCCTGGCTAATTTTGTATTTTTAGTAGAGATGGGGTTTCTCCATGTTGGTCAGGCTGGTCTTGAACTTCTGACCTCAGGTGATCCGCCCGCCTCCACCTCCCAACCTGCTGGGATTACAGGTGTAAGCCACCGTGCCTGGTGAGGATGAGATCATTTAGGAAGTGAGGACACTAAGAAGTGGAGGAACAAAATTGTTTTCTGGGATAGAGAGAACCAGGAGTTCCCTTACAGATGTGTAAAGTTCAAGATGCCCATGATTATAAGAAATATAACATTAGTCAGGCATGCTGGTGTATGCCTGTGGTCCCAACTGCTTGGGAGGCTGAGGCAGGATGGCTTGAGCCTGGGAAGTTGAGGCTGCAGTAAGCCGGGATGGAACCATCACACTCCAGCTTGGGTGACAGAATGAGATCTTGTCCCAAAAAAAAAAATAAAACCCATAAGGTAGGCAGAGGGCATAGTGGGCAGAGGCTGTGCGGGGTCTGGGGCTGCTTTCATTGCTCCTGAACACACTGCTCCCTCCCCTGGTGGAGAGGTGGAGGGCGGGGAGCCCCAAACTCAGAGGCCTGAACACAGTCTCTTCCTCCACTGCTGCTGGCACTGCCAGTTCATTTCTCAGCAGTTCTTCTCTTCCATCTGTTTATCCTTTCATTCTTTACTCCTTCCTTCCATCCGGGGGAAACCCCTGGGGTGGGGAGCTTTCTCCTCACTCCCCTTCAAGCCATCTGGGCCGGCAACTGGCAGACACCCAGTGAGTATTTGTTGAGTGAATCCAGGAATGAACGACTTCTCTGAGCTTCAGTTTCTTCATCTGTTAACTGGGGGTCTTAAAAGTCCCTTTCTAGCAGGGAGCGATGGCTCATGCCTATAATCTCAGCACTTTGGGAGGCTGAGGTGGGCAGATCATGAGGTCAAGAGATCGAGACAATCCTGGCCAACATGGTGAAACCCTGTCTATAGTAAAAATGTAAAAATTAGCTGGGTGTGATGGTGCACACCTGTAGTCCCAGCTACTGGGGAGGCTGAGGCAGGAGAATTGCTTGAACCTGGGAGGCAGAGGTTGCAGTGACCCAAGATCACGGCCACTGCACTCCAGCCTGGAGACAGAGCAAGACTCCGTCTCAATTAAAAAAAAGTCCCTTTCCTCATGATAATGACTCCAAGGGACTGTGTGTGCACACAATGATGCTAATCCCACTGGATACGCAGGGTGCTTACTGCATGCCAGGCAGTGTTCAGTGCCCTGTGTGGGTCCCCTGCCTGGATCTGCCCAGCACCTCAGTAAGCTATTATGCTTACTCCACTGAGGAGGACACTAAGGTGCCGGGAAGCCATACAGCTAGGAAGAGACAGGGTGGAGAGGGTTCCCAGGCTCTGAACTGTGTACTATGTCATGGCGATGAATGAACGTGTGGAGAGCTGATGGGCAGCGTAGCTTAGTGGTTGGGAGCACAGACCCATTTCCGACCACCTGGATTCAAATTCCAGCTTTGCCATTTGGGCAACCTATTAACCTCTGTCTCAGTTCCCTTCTCTGTAAAATGGAGAAAACAGCAGCACTTACCTCATGGGACTGCTGTGCTGTGCAGATGAAACAAGGGAGAATGTTTAAAGCCCTTAGCACACAGTGGGCACAGTGTAAGCAGTGGGGTTGCTGGTAAGGACTTGTGCAGGTAGCTGGTAGTGGGAACGGGCGGGGAGGCTGGATGGGGCAGCAGGGCAGGCCTACCCTGGGTGGAAGGGCCCGGTGGCAGGCTGGTCTTCATGTGGAGTAGATCCCAGCACCGGAGGCCCTGCTGGTCCTGCAGGAATAGAACGTCCTGGCGAAGAGAGGCAGCTGCTGGCAGGAGCAGCTCTGAGGCCTGGAGGAGGAGGGAAAGACAGTCACCTTGGGCGGGGCTGGGGAGACGAGTCACAGGAGACCAGCACTCACCTTCCCTGGGGGCAGCCCCAGCATGTGGCTCAGTGCTATGAGGCTGGAGCCCTTCGGGGACATGGGGTGCAGCTGATGGATGGACGGTAGGACTGTGGGCAGCAGCTTCAACCTGGGGGCGGGGAGAAGTCTGGGTTGGGTGGGCACTGAGAGGAGGCCTTGGGTTCTGGAGGGTCTGGGGGCCCAGGAACTTCAAGGTGGGTCTGGGGACTAGGGTGCCATACCAGGACTGGTGACCCGAGGGTGAGGTCTAGCAGCCTATGAACACTGGGGGTCTGGGGTTATCTTTTTGAAGGAGGTTCAAGGAGTGACAGTCATCCATGGCAGGGGATGTGGGGCAGGGCTGGGGCAGCCCCAGGCTCACTCTCCAGGGCTGTGCCGCAGCAGTGGACCCAACAGAACATGGGGCAGATGCTGGGCTTCCTCCTCCAGGCAGCGCAGCAGCTCCCGGCTCTGCGGGGCCACTGCCTCAGATGCAGGGACCACCTTTCGCTCGACCAGAGCCAGCACCTTCGGGGAAGGAGAGAGATGGGTGGGGCAGCCTGAGCCCACCCAGCCCCATTCCGGCAGATCCAGCCCTACCAAGACCTCACCCAACTCCCCTCTCACCTCCCCTGGGCTCTGGCACAGGCGGGTCTTGCTGGCTGAGTTTCCCTTGATGAGCAGGCGGATCTGTTCCTGTGTCTCCTCCTGAGGAACCGGGATACCCTGAGACTCACTCCTCCCACCTCCCAACCTCAGTGCGCCTCTCTGCTCAGGTCCCGCTTCTGCCTGGGAGTCTCGCCTGGGCTCCTGTTGCCTAGGAGGCCCAGTTCTTTTTTTAAGTGACAGTATTCTCTTTTTTATTTTTGTTTTTTTGAGACAGAGTTTCGCTCTTGTTGCCCAGGTTGGAATGCAGTGGCGTGATCTCAACTCACAGCAACTTCTGCCTCCTGGCTTCAAGCGATTCTCCTGCCTCAGCCTCCCAAGTAGCTAGATTTACAGGTCCAGGCGCCTGCCACCACACCCAGCTAATTTTTTGTATTTTTAGTAGAGACAGGGTTTCACCATATCTCTAGGACAGGCTGGTCTTGAACTCCTGACCTCAGGTGATCCACCCATCTCAGCCTCTCAAAGTTGAGATTACAGGGATGAGCCACCGTGCCCGGCCTTTATTATTATTTTTTTTCAAGTGACAGCATCTTACTCTGTCACCCAGGCTGGAGTGCAGTGGTGCGATTGTACCTCACTTCAGCCTTGAACTCCTGGGCTCAGGTGATTCTCCCACCTCAGCCTCCTAAAGTGTGGAACCACAGGCATGTGCTACCACACCGGGCTCAGGCCCAGTTCTTAGCCACAGTTTCGAAGCCTCCTCTCTGGCCCTCCACAAGGCCCTGGCCTCTCCCCAGGCCCCGCCTCTCACCACCAGCTGGCGCCAGCGCAGGATCCGCTGCTGTTTGGCCTGTAGCTCCCTCAGCAGGAGCTGCCGATGCCCGGCTGCATCCTCCAGCTCCTGGCTCTGAGCACGCAGGGACTTGAGCTCCACCCACAGGCCACAGCCCCGAAGCCCCAGTATCCACGCCTGCCTGTAGGGCAAGCAGAGGAGAGCAAAGGAGAGGAGGGTGACTGAGTCACACAGGGGACCATAAACAGGGAGAGAAACCGCAGGGAGAGGAGGCAGAGATAGGAGCCATAGGGGCTGAAAAAGCCCAATAGGCTGAGATACCCAGAAGCGAGACGGCCTAGAGGCCTTTGCCCCGGGGGCCCCTCACCTCTCACTGGATCCTAGGGCATGTCTCTCCACCTCTTCCACCAGGCTCTGGAGGCACTGGGTCAGGACTTGATGCTCCTTCAGGAGGGTGCTCCGCTGGGAGACCAGTGCACCCACAGTCCACCAGCCCTCCTGCAATGGGGGTACAGAGTCAGGGTGGGCATGGTCCATGGGTGAGGGGATTGAGAGGGTCTTAGAACGAGGCGGCGAGCCTTGGGGTCACCTGCATGAGATGAACCATGGACGGCAGGGTCTGGCTGGAGTCTGACTGGTCCGGGGCCTGGGACCTGGGGTGGGGGCAGAGCTGCTGAGGGAGCCATGCTGTGGCCTTGCCTCGGTACTCGAGGGTGGCGAGTATCAGTCCTGCCAGCCCACCAGACAGTGTGTTTCAGTCCCACCCATGAGCAGGTGGCCAGGCCAGGTCCTGACTCCTGTCCAGCTCACCCACCCACCAGGCCTTCCCCGACTGTAGGAACACCCTGCCCCACACCTGGATATCTCGGTATCGCCAAGCCCATCCCCACCGCACAGCGACCGAATCTCTGCCTCCCGCTCTGCAGCCAGGTGCTCCAAGGCAGCCAGGACGTGGCCCGGGGGGTGGTTTGTCAGCAGCGTCTAGGGGCAGGGAGGGTGAAGTCAGGGCAGGATGGGGGCAGGGCTGTGAGCTGAGACCCCATGGGAATAGGGCTGTCATCAAGAGTTAGGTCCTGGCACCCTAAGTTTTGATCATGGGGCCAGAGGGGGTGGGTTTTCCTGAGAGCCCCCCTCTCACCTCCACGGAGCTCAGCCACTGCTGGTAGGAAGTGCCAAAGTGGTCATCATGAGGGGTTCTGTGGGGTTGGATAAGGGGACAGAGAATGTTATAATACACATCAATTATCCTCTAGTTACCACCACCACCACCCTATAAGGTAGGGGCTGTCATCATCCCTATGCCTGTAACACCTGAGTTCCCCAATTATACCAACTTGGGGCCTTTACATGGGCTGTTCATCTGGGACACTCTCTGGACCCTTCACCCCAGGTAAGCCTCCTCACCAAAGAACCTCTCCCCTCCCTGCCTCCTTAGCTGGGAAGGGCACTGCCTCTGGGGTGCTCAGAGCTTCTCAGGCCTCCCAATTCCCCCGACAGCCCTGACCTGGCTGTCACTGTTAGTATGAGTCTGTCTCCTTCTCTTCCCAGCCTAGAAGTCCCCTTCTATAGAATGTAGCCCAGAAGCTCAGTGTCTGGGGAATTAATAAACAAGAGACACCACCACCCTCAAAGCCCAGGTTCTCCGCAGGATCTCTGGGGGCTGGGGACACTCACGGGAGGCTGCCCCTCTTGGCCTGGGGAAGCAGGAGGTTCTGCAGGAACTGGGCCCGGAGGGAGCAGGCTGCTCGGACATCACGCTAGGGAGAAAAAGAGGAAGGGACCTGAGGGAGACCCTGGCATCTGCCTGACTCCAGGCTCCCTGCCCCTTCTCCCATGATGGGAGACTCTTACCAGGACCACAGGCTCCAGGCCCAGAGCTGCCGCTGTCAGGGATCCAAAGGTCACGTCTACTTTGGCTTTCCTGAAGGGAGAAGTGCAGCTGGGGCTAGGGTCCCTGGGAGAACAGATGTCTGTACCCCATCTCCTCTCACTACCAGCAAGGCCAGTCAGAAGAATCACTAAGCCTAGATCTCGGGAGCCATCTCCAGATTAGGCCACTGTCACCTCCCAGCTGGATTATTGCATTAGCCTCCCCACTGCTCTTGCCCCATGAGACTGTTCTCCACTCAGAAGTCAATGACTCTGTTAAAACCGAAGGATGATCATGTCCCTGCTCAAATCCCTTCAAAATAATGTGATGTTTCCCCAGCACATTCAGAATAACAATGGGCCCAGTGCGGTGGTGCACGCCTGTACCCTAGCACTTTGGAAGGCTGAGGTGGGTGAATCACTTGAGGTCAGGAGTTCGAGACCAGCCTGGCCAACATGGTGAAACCCCGTCTCTACTATAAATACAAAAATTAGCCAGATGTGGTGGCACACGTCCATAATCCCAGCTACTCAGAAGGCTGAGGCAGGAAAATCACTTGAACTCGGGAGGCAGAGGTTGCAGTGGGCTGAATTGTACCACTGCACTCCAGCCTGGGTGACAGAGCGAGACTCCATCTCAAAAAAACAAAAACAAAAACAACCCAGAATAGTAACAATGGCTAATAGGCACTTTTGTAAGCACTTTACATGATTTATTGTCTACCCTATAAGCTTGGTATTAATATTATCCCCATTCCACAGATCTTAAGAATCTGAGGCACATAGAAGTTAAATACCTTGCCCTAGGTCACCCAATTTTTTTGGGGGGTGGGGGGAGACAAGAGTTTTGCTCTTGTCACGCAGGCCAGAGTGCAGTGGCACAATCTTGGCTCACTGCAACTTCCTGTTCCTGGGTTCAAGTGATTCTCCTGCCTCAGCCTCCTGAGTAGCTGGGATTACAGGTGCCTACCACCACGCCTGGCTAATTTTTATATTTTTAGCAGAGATAGGTTTTTACCATGTTGGGCAGGCTGGTCTTGAATTCCTGACCTCAGGTGATCCACCTGCCTCAGCCTCCCAAAGTGTTGAGATTACAGGCGTGAGCCACCTCACCCGGCCTAAGAGCACTCAATATATATATATATTTTTTGAGACAGAGCCAGGTGCCAGGCTGGAGTGCAATGGTGTGATCTTGGCTAACTGTAACCTGTGCCTCCTGGGTTCAAGCAATTCTCCTGCCTCAGTCTCCCGAGTAGTTGGGATTATAGGCACGTACCACCACGCCCAGTTAATTTTTGTATTTTTTAGTAGAGATAGGGTTTCACCATGTTGGCCAGAATGGTCTCAATCTCTTGACCTCGTGATCCGCCCACCTTGGCCTCCTAAAATGCTGGGATTACAGGCGTGAGCCACCATGCCCAGCCCAATTCTTTTTTTGAATTGGAGTCTCACTCTGTTGCCCATGCTGGAGTGCAGTGGTGTGATCTTGGCTCACTGCAGCCTCTGCCTCCTGAGTTCAAGTGATTCTTTTGCCTCAGCCTCTGAGTAGCTGGGACTACAGGCACATGCCACCACGCCCAGCTAATTTTTGTATTTTTTAGTGGAGACCGGGTTTCACTATGTTGGCCAGGCCTGTTTTGAACTCCTGACCTCAACTGATCCACCTGCCTCGGCTTCCCAAAGTGCTGGGTTTACAGGAGTGAGGCACTGTGACCGGCCTAAGGTCATCCAATTTTAAGTGACCAAGGCAGGGCATGAACCGGTATCAGGGTAAAATCACAATGCATCATCTACAGTTCTCTGTCCACTCTTTCACCCTCACCTCCTCAGGTTCTCTATCTTGCCTGAGAAACTGGAGCTGACTTGGCCCCCTGGCTGCTCTTCCTGCATGCTGAATGCACTGCCTCTGTTCTTGCAGAAACCCTCTCCACAGAAACTCCTCTCCCAACTCAATGTTACCTCCTCAGAGGCCTTCCCTAACCACGCCTGCTGGGGCAGCATCTTGCTCTCCCTTCTATTATAGGCTTTTCTTCACAGCACTCATCTCTACCGGAAATGATAGGGTCTGTTTGGTTCCTAGTTTACTATCTGTCTTCTGTGTATCAGAGTATAAACTCCAGGAGGGCAGGGACTTGTTCTCTGTTTGTGGCCGTTTTCCCAGAGCTAGTGTTCTAGGTATACAAGTGGTATCATTCCAGGCACTAGAAATACAGGTAACTGAGATGACAAAACCTCCTGGTCTCGTGGACCTTCCATCCTAAGGGTGGGAGCTGAGAATTCTGGAACCCAAGAAGGGATCGGGGCAGAGCCCTGAGGTCTCTAAGAGAATGTCTGGCGGCCCAGCCTGGTGAGGGCGGGTCCCTGAAGCCCACCTCTCCATGTCCTGCAGGCGCCTCAGTTGATTCTGCAGCCGCTGCATGGGATTTCGGAGCCTATGCTGCTGTCTTCGCATGGCCCCAGCTTGGGCCCGGAGGAGGAGAGCTCGACGCTGGGTGTCTTGTGTGTGCTGAAGTGCCTGCTCCATGGCTATGTCTGTGGGAGGAACAGGGTAGTCATCAGCACCTTCCCTGACCCACATTCTGCTGCTGCCCATCTTTTGGCCCCTGGATTACCCTGAGCCTCAGTGTCTCGCTCCATCAGCTCCAGACTCTGGTTGAGCTCCTGGATCTCTGCCTGCAGGCGGGTCACAGCAGCTTCCAGCTCTAACTTCCTACGGACCTGGGAGGATCAGATTCAGGGTCAGATGCACGGTCTGAGCAGGACTCAGCCTGGCCTGTCTTTTGAGGGGTACCAGGCTCCTCAACTGGTGGCAGAGGTTTTTGCTCAGCAGTTTCTGTGTCTGATACAGAAGCATTAGGGTACTGGCTCCCTCCTTCCTCCTGGGATTGCCTCACCCACACTGCCAGCCTGTTTCCTGTCTGTGCTGGTGACACCCACATCTTTGTCCCAGTCCTGATCTCCTCCCAAAGCCCTGCACCTCAAAGTCCCAAGGCCTCCTGGAAACCTCCCCTTAGATGTCATCTGAGCCTCTTGCACCTGCTAGGTCCCACACTGGCCTCTGCATCTCTCCCAAACTTGTCCCTTCTCTCGTTATCAGCTTTGCTGCCACATATCTATGCCCCACCTCTCCACCCCGAGCTAATTAATGCTATCTCTTTTTTTTTTTTT